GAATAAACCATGTGTATGAAAGAGTAATCATTACAACTTCTATTACAACTCTGATAAGAGAATATTTTACTATGTTAGTTACGTAAGCACTATGGAGCGGTTATTAGAACCTGAGCGCACAATTATTTTTCGAGTGCCGTGGGTTGATGATAGGGGTGAGACGCATGTGAACCGTGGTTTTCGGGTTCATTTTAATCAGACTCTAGGTCCATGCAGGGGTGGTCTCCGTTTCCATCCATCAATGAACTTGAGTATTGCCAAATTTCTTAGCTTTGGACAGGTGATCTTCTGCTAATTATCTTACTCTCTTAATTTACATGCAAACACTCGTAATGTGTGTATAATTTCTTTAAAGAGTACAAGCAATGAATTGAGAAAGTTTGCTGCTTCTCATAATGTTTTATTTTGCTCTCATTTGGTAGACTTTGAAAAATGCCTTGTCGCCTTACCGACTTGGGGGTTCTTCAGGTGGAAGTGATTTTGATCCTAAAGGCAAAAGTGATAGTGAGGTATATGTTTATGTTTAACCATGTTGATTTCTAATCACGAATTTATTTTCAAGCGTTAATCTTTCTTCTACTTCCTGCCTACTTCACTGTAGGTCATGCGATTTTGTCAGAGTTTTATGAATGAATTGTATCGTTATTTGGGTCCTGAAAAGGTAGCTAAAGACTAACTTCTATGTCGATTTTACTTTGAGTTTCCTGTCAAATCATATCTTGTTTCTGTAGTTTGATTATTATCTAATCATGTAGGATCTTCCTTCAGAGGAGATGGGTGTTGGTACTCGGGAAATGGGCTTTCTGCATGGACAATATCGGCGACTGGCTGGTCATTCACAGGTGAAGATGGTTAATTTTCTGATATTTCAGATCATCTTATTCTGTTCCTTCCATTTCTTTTTTCTGCACCTAATGTGACCATGGATAAGAATTGTATCAAGACCAGACACACTAACAACCTAACATCCTTAAATGTATTACGAGAATCAAGAGGCTAATAATTCACATATTATATGAGATTTGCTGAATTTCGTAGAGTGACAGCAGAATACAGATCTAAGCTAAATGATCTTGATATTTTAACTCAAAAAAGAGAAAAAAGTAGAAGAGAAGAAAATGCCATCTGATGGATTTCTGAACTGTGTTATTATTGTCATTTTCTGTTGAAGATGAAATGAGGAGGACAAGAGGGGATTCTGTAAATAGCATTATGTCATTTATTTATTTTTAATTTTAATAAGTTAAGGCTGCGTACAATAGACCCTTGTGGTCCAGCCCTTCCCCGGACCCCGTGCATAACGGGAGCTTAGTGCACCGGGCTGCCCTTTTTTAGCATTAGCTTATGTACAAAGCTGCAAAACTAAAAATAAATTCCTGAAAGTATGCCTGTCTCCCTCTTATGATCTCATTGGGCTGAAGGACTAATAGTTCATGGAGAAGGCTCTGCTATTTTCAACAAAAAGCCACTAATTGGCTTTGCTGTTGATCTAATGAGGAGCATCTCTATCAGCTAGTCAATTGAAAATTCTAATGTGCATGCATTTCCCTCGTAAGTCCACAACCACAAGGCACTTGTTGGTATCCTTTTCGAGCTTCTTCGGTAGTTTGGGCAAGTTACTGGAAGCTGTTAAGCAAGTTTTTCAATTGTATGATTTTAGGGCTTCTTTTACACTTACAAATTTAATTATTACTACTATTGTGCCAATTCTTGTGATTCAATTTTCCATTTAGGTATGTCTCAAAATGTTTGACTCACTTCCAACAATGATAATTCACATCTAAGAATTTTTAAACAATGATTTGATGTACCAATTGATATAAACAGGTAGATTTAACTTATTAAACTCCTTGCTCTAGTTAAACCCTGTCACGTATGGTCTGGGTAAGTATTTTTTTACAAGTATATATATGGAAATTGTTTGGTTGTCCTTGTAATAAGTCAAGATATAGATAACACTCATGTAGGGGTTTTAGTCCTTTCCTGTAGGGGTTCCTACTCTTCTAGATAAAACATTGCCATCTGTCAAATATTACTATTTTCATTTTATTCTCTTTTTTTTTTTTTGTTTCTACACGTCTTTAACTGACTACGGGGTCATGGTAACACCCGTTTAACAGCTGTGCCAATCATATAAACGAAGCATAATTCTGAAGTGCTTGATGTAGTTTGAGATGTTAAGAATAGATAATTAACAGTTCTTCATGGGTGAACCGCCAGATTTAATGCTTTTGAGCAAGAAGTTTTTTTCCGACCTTTTTCCTTTGAATGTGTTGGATATCATCCAAATGATTATATGCATTCTCCTTTCTGTTCTCTCTCTCTGTTCTTTTTAATTTTATGAATAGTTAAAATGATACATGTTCCATGTTATGCAGGGAAGTTTTACAGGACCTAGAGTAAATTGGTCAGGCTCCAGTCTTCGAACTGAGGCTACTGGCTACGGATTGGTGGAGTCTCTTCTTCTGTTGGTTTAATTTGTCAAATACCTGTCTCATTCCTGCCAACTAATTTCTGTTGCAAACTTTAGGTTTTCTTTGCACAACTTATGCTTGCAGACATGAACAAAGAACTAAAAGGTTTAAGGTACCATCCTTTCCAAATGATGGATTTCCTTCTGTTTGAAATCAGAAATATAAGAGCAAAATAGCCTAGTGTTTGGGGCTTCTTTTACTGATCCTCATGAATGGCAATGTCACTGGATCTGTTTGTTATTATGAGCATCCACCTACATTATGGGCATAGCTGAAAAATGGCAAGCCTGTTAGAAATTCATGGAGATCTCTTTGTCAGAAGACATGAGTGGATAGCATGTAGATATTTATACCGTCCGACATTATAGGTGGCACGTAATTAGGCCATTATAGCCTGACCCCTCCAAGGCATTTAAATTATGAGCTTCGAAACTATTTGCATTGGCAGGTATCAATACCTAGAGAGAGAAAGCTATTTGCTCTTGGTATTTGCGGGTGTTATCAGAAATAATGCTTGTAACGTCCTTTATGTTCAGGTGTGCGGTTAGTGGTTCTGGAAAGATTGCAATGCATGTCCTAGAGAAGCTCATTGCTTACGGGGCCGTTCCCATCACCGTATCTGGTAAACATTCTGATTTCTTTTGAAATCTTTTTCAGCTTGAATGGTGAACTTAGAGGTGTTCTCTAAAAAATCTGTATTCCAATATCAACCAGTACAACCTGCGACCTACCTTCTTTCAATTTCATATTTTGGCTTGGCTTAGAGCTTATCATTTAGGAATTACCGAGAATTCAGTTTATGCTTGTCACAGATGTTCCCTTCCAGAAGGTGAGAGTGATAGTTCATTGCACCACTAATTTGGTGCAGGTACAATATGATACTTAAATTATTAAATTTGCCAATTATGATTTTACAGACTCAAAGGGTTATCTGGTGGATGAAGATGGATTTGATTTCTTAAAGATATCTTTCCTGAGAGAAATCAAAACTCAGCAGAGAAGCTTAAGGTTTGTTTTTTTCTCCATAATAGCTGTGTAGACAAATACCTTTGAGGTTTTGAATAAATGGCGTACTTACAAGTACTTTTGCAGAGATTACTCAAAGACTTATGCTCGCTCAAAGTACTATGATGAAGCTAAGCCTTGGAGTGAAAGGTGTGATGTTGCATTCCCATGTGCCTCACAGAATGAAATTAATCAATCTGATGCCATAAACTTGGTTAACTCTGGTTGTCATATACTTGTAGAAGGTATTGGTCAACCTCCTGTTATCATTGTCACTTGTTTGTTATTATTGTCCAGGATTCCTACCCATATAGTGAGTGGGTAAGTGGCGTTTTTTAACACTTTAACTGTATTCCTGTTCATTTTTAGGCTCCATTATGCCATGTACCGCTGAGGCAGTTGATGTTTTGAGAAAGGCTAATGTCCTAGTTGCTCCTTCTATGGCTGCTGGTGTTGGAGGGGTAGGATCTACTTTCCTCACTAGTCTGTTCATGATAAGTAACTCACTTGTTGAAAATAGCAAACACTACCTGAATTTGCATCGGAAGTCATTATGTATTTCTACTATCTTTTTTGCTTTAGTTCAAAGTAAGCTTATGCTTCTATGTGACAGTAATACTGACTTGGGTCTTCCAACATGGGTAAGATATAATGCTAAAGTAGGTAATTTCAAACTCTAATTTCGACTTGTTGATGGATTATATCAGGAAGGTTAAGGATGAAAGTCTTGGTAACTGTGAAGAAAATGGTGTTCACCTCATGAATGGGAATGAGAGAAGGAAGCAACATTCTCTTCATTCGATCCCAATTTTACTTTTACCCAAGAAATGATTTTGGAGTCTGTCCCGTAGTTAACCGGCTTCCTGCGAGGGCATCTCACACTTTTGATGTCCTATTTAATGCTTGACAAAAGATTCATTTCCAATTTCTCCCACGTTACTTGATTAACTTTTCTTTTGTGATGACTCATTTTTGACATCCCTTTTATGTGATCTGCTTGTGAAGTAATTTTGTGAAGCTTGCGTTAGACATAAGTTTAGCAAGAAAGTTAGTGCAACAAGCATGAAGCACCAATTTGTATCAACATATGTTTTATATCTTGAGATGCTCATAATAACATGGACGAGGTTTCCCATATTTTCTTCTGTTGTGGACTGACCTTTCTGCAACTTCATTGTGTCCATTTTCTTGGATGGATAAAATTTCTGACTATCAATCGCAGGTTGTTGCAGGGGAACTTGAGCTGAAAGAGTGTAATTTAAACTGGTCTCCAGAGGATTTTGNTTTAGTTGGAGCAAGTGCCAATCAAAGCAAATTATTATGCTTTTCCTACTCGTTCTCCAGCCAACAAAAATTAACATGTGCTGGAGTCAGTTGTGAAAGAATATCCTCTTGTTAATCATCTTCATGTAGCATTTTATCATATGCTTATTTTCCGTAAATATTCTGTAAACCAACACTAGTTGTCTCTAGATGAGGTTTTGTATAGTTGCAGGTGTTTCTTTTATCTGTTTTCCATTTTAATGCAAATGTCATCCCTAGTAACAGTGAGGATGGATCTCTTGCTTGCTGCAGGAGGCTATGAAACAGACATACCAGAGAGCCCTAAAAGCGGCAACAGATTTTGGTTATCAAAAGGAAAGTCCAGAGTAAGTCTTTGCCTCAACCTAACACCACAAAAAAAAGTGGGCTTTATGTGCATTCTGATGGATTTAGTAAATAGGCGCTTACAACAATTGTTTCTTTCCGTCTTCTTGAGTCGAGTGTCTATCGGAAACAACTTCTCTACTCCCTCGAGGTAGGGGTAAGGTTTGCGTACACACTACCCTCTCCAGACCCCACTTGTGGGATATTACTGGATTGTTGTTGTTGCGCTTACAACAATTATATTGAACAGTTTGAAGGAAATTGTTCCTGTGCTTTGTTATTATGAATAATGTCTTTTTGTGTTTTTGTTTTTTCTTTCTACATAAAGCATGAAATATTCTTTCTAAAATGCTCTTCAGTTCTTTTCTTAACAAGATTGTTGTTTTTTCCCCTTGAAATGTTCTATTATCCTTTTGGATTTTTGTGATAGACATTGCTCGCGTGGATATTATCTTGTTCAAATGTGCTAGTTTGATTCAATAGGTTGTTATGATATTTGCAGGGCGTTGGTCCATGGAGCAGTGATCTCTGCTTTCCTAACGATTGCCAACGGTATGGTGGACCAAGGATGTGTATAAATTGCAGCTTTTTCTTGATATAGCTAAATATCATATTTAATTACTTTTTATTTGACGTCAAATAAAAAGTATGGTGGACCAGGATCTTATACAGTGCTTGATATTGTAGATGGTGGGAGGAATATATGTTTGTCATTGTAGTGTACATGTATTATGTAGGTGAGTTAATGTCAGAGCTTTGGTAGGATGTACTACATTTCTATGTTAGCTAGGTTTAGTTAGCTGCTGAAATACAAAAAGTAATTGTGAAAGCAAACACTTGGTATTGTGGGGTTGATGGACTTTTAAGTTTTCAGCAAGGAAATCCTTATAACTTGGATGGACTCCAATAAACCTTTCAAAGATAAAAAGGCAAGAGAACACTCTGATAAGTTGGATGCATGCTGTTACACCAAAAAGAAATACACTATTTTTCAGGGGTTTTGATCTGAATATGGATGTATTCTTATACTTTTTCTTGGATTGAATTTATGAATTGCCAAAAAGAAAGCGTGAAACGATATTAAGTTATGATGATGTATGAAGTTTTCATTGTGAAAGCATGCAACAAGATCAAACCTTTTTCTTTTTAATGGAGAAGTTTTATTATTGCACTAAAAACAACTAGACTTTTTTTGAACCTTGGACTTGGAAAATATCTTTTTCTTTTAGGGACAAAAGAAGTTGAAATTTAGAGTTAAGAGCCGCATATATGCTAATAAGTGAAATGTTATCCAATCTAAAAGATGCGCTACTCTTGACATAACCAGAAACTGTAACCTTTGAAATTCAGTTGGCAATAGTTCAAGCATTTGACTTTTAGTTGGGAGAAGTGGAAAAAAGAGTCGCCAAAGTTAACGTTGTTAATACAATGTTTGGTTAATCCTCCTTTCCCACATAAAACTTAACGTTATTTGTGTGATGTTTAGTTTCATTAAGTCTTTACACATAACTAATACTTGAGTAAATTATGCGATAATGTAATATTATTTTATGTGATATAAAAATATGAGGATTACTAATACATGAATAAAACAACTAAATGATAAGAATAATCTTTTATGTAATAACCAATAATTTATTTTGTTAATGTTTAATAATATTTAATAAAATAACCAAATACAATACCAATAAATTCATTACAAATTCTTGCATTACCAATTTTTACATAATTTAAATTCTAAATCAAATGACCCCCAGAATTTTGAAGAAAGTCAAAGCGCACCAAGTGTGTGTAATCTATCTATATCTATATCTATCTATATTGTATTAAAAGTAGGAAGACCTTAACTAAAAAGTTGAATTACATAATTGCCCTTCTAATTAATTCAAATATCATATTAAAGTAAAAATTTATTATTAAATTTGTATGAAGAGATGCAACCTTTCATAGTTAATAGTTACTGATGTTCAACGGTTACTGCTTTATTGAGCCTCAAGGAGGGGAAGACACGATTGTTCATTTTATATTTCCTTTCTATATGTGACAAGAAATGTATTGTGGCATATCTTTCCATGAGGGATACATTGCTATCAAAAAGTGTGTCAATTGATGATTGATGCCTTTGTAGACCATCTTCTCATACAAAGGAGTCTACATAATGCATTTCGAAGATGAGAAATCCTTGCCAATGGAAGGAAAATTATGAAAAGCGTTGACCGCACTCAAACGGTAGTTTTTGACGATATATAAATCTCTGAGATGAGACTCAATAAAAATCGGGTTCTATTATTTTAACTTTATTTTATTATTTAATTATGAATTCCTACCTTTTGTGATTTTTGTTAGTTTTATTTTTTAAAATATTAGGATAGATGATATACTTATGATGATCTTAAAATACATGCTAAATTAATTATTTTTATTTTTTTTAGTTGTTATTGCACGGACAAAAAGCATGGCGTATGTATATATATGTTGCATAATTGCATGCATGGAAACATGTGAAATTCATTTCGAAAATTGTGGGATAATATATTTAATTATAAAAGAACATTAACTCTTAACCAATATCTAAGTGTAAAGAGTATTTACTCTCATGATCTCAAATTGGTGCAAAGATTGTTTATTCTCAAAGTGATTTTGTAGTATAAATATTTTATAGTATAACTATCCTATTTCATTGTTGTCTCTTAATTGAAACTATTAATAATAAAAGAGTTGGCAGTATGAATGGTCTAATCTTCTTGAAAATGCGATCTAATTTAAAAAATAGAATGATAAGAATTATTTGAATTTGAGATGAGATTTTTTTTATTTCATAAGTTTTTATTTTTAAAAATATTACGTAAAGAAATAAAATGACAATAAACATATTACTACATATATATAATATGTTCAAACAATTAAGAAATTATTTTTCTATGATTAAAATAAAATTTTAAAAATATAAATAACTTTCTAATATAAGTAATTTTACTAATGAAAATTAAAAATTAAATTTGAATCTTAAAGCTAAAAAAAAAAAATTAACTGCATCTAATACAAAAATAATTATAAGAGAACTCAATATATTTGTAACATAATCTGATAATCATCAAATATATGTATTAATATTTTAGACTAATTCAATTTTACAATTTAAAATAAAGTATGATATTATTCTGGTTAAAGGTAAATAATTAAAATTTATAGTAGAGAAGAGAATATATTAAAAAAATAGAGATAGTGTGAGGATACTTATACATTAAATTAATTTAAAAATAAATCAATTAAAAAATTAAATTATATTTAAAAATATTACAATAAATTTAAATGATTAAAAAAATTTGAATGCATAAAAATATACCAAATTTCAAGAATAAAACATTTATATTTATTAAAGACTATTAAAAGAATAATAAGCAAGATTTTAGTTAAGATAATAAAAAATTATATGATAGTAAAATAATATTAAATAATAAATAATACAATAACTATAAGAAAAAAATAAAAGAAAAAAGAATTTGTATAAAAATAATGTGATGAATAAGACATATTTAATTTTTAGATAAAAACAAAATAATAGTAAGAAGTTTGTTAAAATAATATGATCTAATGTGCTCAAACAAGACAGATCGCAATATGATAAGTTTAATATTCTTTGATACTGACAGCAAAATAAAGTGCAAGTACTAAAATCAAGTAGTTAGGTTGCTACAAATAAAAAATAAAATAGGTTGTGCACTACGAGATTTGAACAATAATTTCATATCCTACTTCATAATTAATATCTAATGTTATATANTTACCCCTATACGGTGTGTGACATCCTCATCAATCTCCCCGATCCCCTGAATAACCGATCCAAGGTACTTGAAACTACCCCTCTTNTTAAGGTTATTTGCACATGATTCAAATAACCAACATCACAATTTAACATGATTTGTGTCCGCGCATCGCGCGAGTACTACAACAACAACAACCCAGTATAATCCCACAAGTGGAGTCTGGGGAGGGTAATATGTACGCAGACCTTACCCCTACCCCGAAGGGTAGAGAGGCTGTTTCCAGGAGACCCTCAGCTCAAAAAAAAGCCACAGAAGATGATATATTAGTACCATAAAAATGCATAATAAAATAACAGCAATATAAGAGATATGACATACAGAATACGAAATACGAAATAGATGGCTGGTATAGTAAAAACTAGCAGGTAAAGCCCTGCATCAATAGACGACCAATGACATTCTTAGTCTAACTCCTAACTGGCTAGTCTCACTCTATTGTGCTGTAGAAATATTCACAACTTTCCCCTAACCTACAACCTTAATGCTCGACCTCCATAATTCCCTGTCAAGGGCCATGTCCTCAGTAATCCTAAGTCGCGCCATGTCCTGTCTGATCACCTCTCCCCAATACTTCTTAGGTCGCCCTCTACCTCTCCGCGTGCCCACTACAGCCAGTCGCTCACACCTCCTCACCGGTGCATCAGTGCTCCTCCTCTGAATGTGCCCGAACCATCTGAGTCTTACTTCCCGCATCTTGTCCTCCATGGGGGCCACGCCCACCTTCTCTCGAATATCTTCATTCCTAATCTTATCCATCCTTGTATGCCCGCACATCCACCTCAACATCCTCATCTCTGCTACTTTCATCTTCTGGATGTGTGAGTTCTTTACCGACCAACATTCAGTTCCATATAACATGGCAGGCCTAACCACTGCTCTATAAAACTTACCTTTTAGTAACGGTGGCACTTTCTTGTCACACAAGACTCCCGACGCTAACCTCCACTTCATCCACCCCACCCCTATACGGTGTGTGACATCCTCGTCAATCTCCCCGATCCCCTGAATAACCGATCCAAGGTACTTGAAACTACACCTCTTGGAAATGACTTGAGAGTCAAGCCTCACTTCAACTCCCGCTTCCGTCGGCTCAACCCCAAATTTGCACTCGAGGTATTCCGTCTTCGTCCTGCTCAACTTGAAACCTTTAGACTCAAGAGCATGTCTCCAAATCTCTAGCCTCTCGTTGACGCCGCCTCGTGTCTCGTCAATTAGAATAATGTCATCAGCAAATAGCATGCACCATGGCACATCCCCTTGAATATGATGAGTCAGTGCATCCATCACCAGGGCAAATAGGAATGGGCTGAGCGCAGACCCTTGGTGCAACCCCGTAGTAACTGAAAAGTGTTTAGAGTCGCCTCCTACTGTCCTAACCCTTGGTGCAACCCCGTACTAATACTAGTATATTATAATGAGTAAAACATGTAATGTTAAAATTCAACGTTAAAATTATGGGATCTTCAATGCATTGTTTCCAAATTTTTCCCAAAAGAATAGAATATTCCAATTATTTACCGTACATTCTTTCCCATATAATCTTATTTATGACCATTACAATTACCAAATCTTATTGCGATAAATTTAGCTTAAGTCAATGGTTTGTTTGCAATAAAGTTTATTTATTTGAAGTGAACTCTCAAAGTTTGGTATTTGTTCAGTACAAACTTCCATCTGCAAATTATTATTCTTTTCACTACAGATTTAATATTGCATCCAATATAAATTTATGTTCTCTTTGACTCTTTCCAATAGGCTACTTGAATTACTCGGTCACGCAATAGGCTATACTATGTCAAATTATTTTAATTTATTATCTATTTCAAAAAATAATGTTGATCACGGTAGAAAGTAGAAAATCTATCTTATATATCGTTACTATTATACTTATTTTGCTTTCTCTACCTAACCATATTATATTCAGTCAAAATGGCAAGCTAATAAAAATTAACAAAATACTGTGTACCTATTAACAATTTTCTTCTGACTGAGTGATAAAAATATTAGCAATTCGAAGAGGTTCAGTAAAACTAAATAAAAATTTCCGACATAGAAGTGTTTCGGTACTATAATATTAGTCGACGAAGAGGTAATACAATTTTAAATTTTTATTATAATTTTTACTTATTCATATTGCCTTTGTTAATGATATCATTTGTTGGTTAAGTCTTTAACAGTGGAGA